AAAAATGAGAGTACCTAAAAAGTCTTGGTTTTTGTGAGCTCTAGCAGAGTCCAGACAATGAAACAGAAGAAAGATCTGGATAGGGCTCTTCCTCAAGTAAGGCTTGCAAAGGTTCCTTTTTGATGTTAACGGGAGCTCTTCTTTGATGGTAAATGAGCAGCTTCTTTTTATGTTACAACAAGACCTTCCTAGCTGCCTTCTGCAGCAGCTTTTTGTGGGCCCTCTAGAGGGTGTTACTGAGCCAGCCCCTAGTTCAATCAAGAAGAATCAGGAAGAAGGGCTGAGCAGTTATGATCTTCTACGCTGCCCCTCCCAAACTGACCATTTTATATTAATAAACATATGTCTATATTTTCATGTTTTACTACCAGATAAACCATAAATCAGTGTGTGTTATGAAATTATCTTCACATAGGCAGTAAAGTTTATCACTCTGTGAGTTATAGATGCCTCAGAAAGGGTAATGTGTGTTTTTAGGCCTCTGGACCTCCTAAACCACTCATGTTTAGTATGTACAGATTTCATTTGAAGAGACTCAGCTATATACATATTTATCAGGTAGTAGCCCCAGGTCTGGAGTTATGAATATTGTGCTAGATTGGAACTTCAGTTTATTAGCCTGAGGGCGATATCAATCATTCCTTTGTCATCAGACCAGGTGATCTGTAGGAGATTAGCTGAATCATTCAAGTGTGCTGGCTTTTCATAAACATTTTAGGATAGGTACCAATAAACAGCTAGGCCTGGGCCAATTCATGCCAGCCATAAAGGGGGGTCTGAATGCAAAACTCTGTCATTTGGGTGATGTGAAGCTTTGCAGACTCTCTTAAATGGAACACCTACTGTATTTGATGGGTAATCTGATTTACCTATATCTAGAAGTGATGAATTTCAATAAGCTGAATGAGACGAAGATGGAATGTTTTGAATAAATACCACCAAAAGAAAGCTCTATCTGTCCCCAAAAAAGGGTATAAAATTCATTTCAGTACAGCGTTGCATGACGGAATAAATGTCAGTCAAAGTACCGCAGCGCTGAATACTGAAAAATGGCCTGGATGGGAAGGGGGTTTAACACCGCGGATGTCAACTGGTTAATATTGAGATGCACAGACCTCATTACCGTCACAACCTCTGTTTAGGGAAGGTTGTTTCAACTTGAACTGACATTGATGGTTTATTTCAAACCTCTTTTGAAAAAACTGTCTTCTTTGTTCAAAATGTATACATTGCTGTCATGAAAAAGTGTCCCATGCCCTTTAGGTATAGGTTGTTTGCTAAGTCTTGATTTGAGCAGTTATCCAGTTGTGCCTGTACTTATTTATTAGAATTTTGGTCTACAAAATGTAGCGGTCTGAGAACTATTTACTATATTTGACCGCATATATGGCATTGTTTTGGTTATGCATGGGTTGTTTTTTTTTGAGTGCACAACTAGTGTGTTGCTAGGTTTGAAAAACAAATAAATGTGCTATATATTCATGTTTTCTAACCATGGTTTTATCCCTGCTGCTTTACTTTGCATTTCTGTCTATCCATCTGGTGTTACCGCTGGACCTTGTTGGGGTTCTAATAAAATTATAGTGTAGAAACAAGCTTTGCACCTGTCTAGAGTCTGCAGCTTTCATACATTTCTCTCAGAGACAGAAAGCTGCCAGGCCATTGAGCTATATTCATGGCCCTTACCAAATGTCCTGTACCCCTACTCTTTGTGCCAGCTTTCCTCTATTGTGACCTCGGACTCTTTTTATTACTTTCTGTCTCCATGACTTCATGCTTCATGCATGGAAGAAGTGTTTTTGGACTGTGGGAGTAAACCAAAACAATCCATGAAAATGTAAGAAGAACATACAAGTTGCAAGTCAATTGTGCAAGCCAGTTTGCCATGGCATTATACTTGTATCCTATCATATAAGGCTGGATACTTCAAATTGCTGTTGGGTGAACATGCATGCACAAAAGTCAGCTAAGGTTCCCCCTCTGTAAGCCATATGTGCATAGATAACATTCAACGAACTTGCTTTTTATGTTTACAGAGAGAAATTACTTATTAAAATGTATGTCAAAACAAAAACATCTCTCTGATTTTGGTTAGAGTGGGGAAGAAATAGAACTACTGTTGGGTTTTTAACTGCAATTTGGAGCTCCATATGTGAAATATACCCTCAGTTCTTTACCTGTTGACAACTGTTTCACCAGACAGGAAGTTAGGGAAAATCTGCAACAGAGACAAAGCTGGGAATAAAAATCTAACATGGTTTCCAGCCTTACTCTACTCTATTATAGAAAAGCACTTCGATTTCTGTCTGTGTTAATCTTGAAGAATTACCTTGACTTCTTGTCCAGTAAAACATCGTCAGGAGGACAGGGCATGCGGCTACATCTCTCTAATGAAGTCCATGCTAGCAGCAAAAATCTAACAAGGGTTCCCCACTGTATCCAAAGCTAGAAAAAAGTTTTTGGCTTGACATGCACTTTACCTACATGCTGTAGCATTGCTTCATTTCACTACCTCTGAACACACTCTGGGACCAAAAAGCTAATCGCTCTAGCATACTTTTGAACTATAGTGAGAAGCCAGAGCAGCTGAAAGAGGCATGCATTATGTTGATAGATGTACAGCATTGATAAGTATTTCAAGGCATCGATGCTCATTGAAACCCTTACGTAGGGAAGGCAAAAACCCATGTCAGGATTTTTCTGGCATTTGTGTTCCATCAGTGAGATTTCACCTCCTGTTCCTTAACCTGTCCATAAATGTGAAGACTTCACTCATTCAGTCCAGTGAGAAATCACTTAATTCTCCTATCAACACTAAACAGTGCGGACAGACAAATCTCCAACCACTTGCTATTATATTCTGCAGCCGACACCTGCAACTGTCAGAATACCCAAACAGTGACTGTTCGGCTGACTTTTTTCTGTCCAGCTCCTTTGATTTTTGAACCAAAGTTTGTTGAGTCAGGTGGTGTCAGCAGGCCACCCACAGCTTGTATCCTGGCTGATTCCTGTGCATGGTCAACTTTAGACACAGGAAGCTAGAGGAAATCTCTTCAAAGTAAGGGATATCCTGTATAAAACATGTGTCCTGCAGCAAGTATCTCCGTTAGAAGACCCATTAATTCCTGTTTTGGTGGCAATTTAAAATTTTAGATTTTCTCTCACTTTCAGTTTCGGTAACAATGGCTACTAAAACAAATAGAGAGGGTGAAAGCGCCTAGCGGGGACACAGATAGCAATACAAACTGAACATGGTTGCTAAACCTTCCACACTTTGTCCAAAAAATAGATGCACTGTAAAAAAATGTTTTGGGGATGTCTATAAGTACTGCACTTACAACATCTCTGGATAGGTTATGACACTAATACTTAAAGTGTGTCCAAAAGCAAGAAAAAAATAATATATTGCAACTATAGTCCTTAGATGTGATGACTGTGTGCTTATTTTGCACAATAAATGCTAGTGAAAAAGGTGAAGCTGTGTTTACTTTGAATACCCAGTCATGTGCTAGTAAACATTTCCCAAACATTTTATTGTTTATTTAGCTGTAGTGAATAGCCGTAGTGAATGCCGTACTTAGCCGTTGTAAATAGCCAAACGTTGTTCACAGTTATTCACTCGGCTGGCTTTGGCAGCTTTGAGAATAACCCCGTAAGATGGGTTGACAAGGGCACAAATTTGCTTGACGGTGACTTTTTACAGGTTTGGAATCCTTTTTTCTTCATCTAGATCCGGTCTGCAATCAACTAGCAATAGATCACTTTAACAGTAATCTATTGCTGCAGGGAAGGGCTGGCCTCTGTACTCGGAGGAAGTGCCATAATGACACTTGTGACGTCATTAAACTCCAGATGTAACTAGAGTGCGGAAGCCTTCTGTTTACATTCACTTCTACAGTGCACTCATATAGAGGGACCTGTAGAAGCATCAGAAGCCAATGAGCTGATTGTTTTAGCTCCTGGGCTTAGCTCTGGATGTGGGTTGTTACAGACAGCT